ATTGTAAAGTTCAAATAGGAACATGAGAAATTAATTCAACAAATTATTTCAGACATGAATAGAAAAAAAACTTATTATTTTGAAAAGACGTCATCAAATTTACTTGAAAATCAAATAAGATAAAAGTTAAGATAAAAAAGTAATTGTTAAATTTATTTAGTATCAACGTTTTGATATTATTTTGTTTAATTTCATGAGTGATTTAGTTTTGGATTTTACTTTCCAAAATTTAATTTTTTAAGGGTTATAAAATATTTTATCATAAACACGCATATATGCGGGTCCTTTACCTAGTAATTATATATTTTTTTGATGCAAGTCATTTTATATCCGAACTCATATGCTTAATGTGACAAAACAAAAAACATGCACATGACCAAAAAAAAAAACAAAAAACATGCAGACAATGAATCGAACATACCAAAACGATTAGTAAAGAACCAAGCAATGAAAGAAGAAGTAAAGAAAGGACTCAAGAAGTAAACAAGTTAAGCATGTAAGCAAACAATGAAAGAAGCAATGAAGTAATGATGAAACAAATTATATCAAATAAGCAAAGACGGAATCAAAGCAAACAATTGACTAAGCAAAGATCAAAGAGCAAAGAAGGATGCAAGTTTTTTAGCCAAAAAACAAAAAAGTTAAAGATGCAAGCAAACAATGAATCATGAAAACAAATATGGATGAATATGGATGTACTAATGTACACGTGCATGTATGCAATGTGTTGAGAGATTCAAGAGATCAATCGAGTTCTCTTAGTTTCCATCTTTGAGTTCGGTACATACCTATGTCGAATTTTCTGGTCTCTAAGACTCTGTAACTTCATATGTTCTGTTTTCAGCAAAACAGAACATTCAAGTGAGGAAATTCATTAATGTAAATGTGGATATAAAATCGTTTAAATAGAAGACCCATCAATACCACTAGTACGAAAATTGGATAAATGTACTTGAGATCAATAAGATGGACAACTTACAGTTGGTATGCATTCTTTAATCACGGTTCGTGGCCAACTTGCTTATCTTATTATATAGAGAGCCGCAAGTTCTTTAAATAATTCTTGCTCTGACACTGTTTACATATTCCAGAACATGAATGCTAAGAAGGCATGAGCAAATTCATAAACTTTTTGTGTTTCGATAGGCATTGAAATGTGTGTTTATTCAAGAAAATTTTAAACAATGATACCTTATTTGATTCGGAATGGTAACTTTGACTGCAAGCACGTCTTAAGTTCAATGTCAGTTTTGGTTACATTTCTATAAAATATCTGAAGCTCAATGTCTTCTTCAACTGATTAGTCAAAATATATATGATCAATTCTGAAGATATATATACGTTTAAGTAAACAAGATTGATATCAATAATTTAAATAAGAAAAATCGAAAGATGTCATAACAGAAAGAATGATTTCACATTAGTTTACCTGTGCTGGCCCGCCATAAAAAATTAAGATGTAGAAACTAACCTACACAGCAAAATGTCAAATCTCCAAAGACACAAAGAGAGAAATGAGAAACGCTGTAACATAACGAGAAGAGTAATTGAACTGTAACAAATTTAATATCTCACTTACAGTATTGTTTCTTGAGTTGATTTGTCTTGTTTAATGCATTCAAGAGCTCTGCGTAGAAGATAGCTCAAATTAGATCAAGCTTCCAAAGACACAAAGTGATCTAATCAGAGAATTGCTACAACATCTCAGCAAGTCGAATAGTAAAAGACTCAATTTCTCTCACTTTTGCAGTTTCAAATAACCATCAAAAATAACTTTGAAGAAAATTTGATTGCTCCAACTAGATTTGGACTCGAATTGGCTGCAACAAAAAGGAAAAATCTCGATTAGTACTAGTGAAAAAGAAACAAGACAAATGGTGTTTGATCATTTCTCACAAATTGTTTTCGTCTGGATTTTTTTTTTTTTTTTCAGACTCACATGATCACATATACTATATAACCCCTTACTATAAAAGAGAAGGCAACTTTAGACTATAAAAGAAAATTGAAAGACAAAGCTTGAAAAAAAGATTGAAGAAACATATTTGAAAGAATGAGTCAACTTGCACATCCATTTTACATCTCCATTGCGATAAACCTGAACTAAGCATAATGGTGGTAAGAAACAAGAGGATCATGGGATTGCTAAATCCAAAATGGTATAGAAATCAAAGTGTACAAGACCTATGCATTAAAAATTATCATATCAATAAAATGATAACTTAGTGGGAGTTTGTGGCTGGCTGATTGTCTTGCCACGAATAAAGTTCTTCCAGAAAGAAACTTCTGCACTGACAATAAGATTCTAGAAA